CTAAAGTTATTACAAAACAGTCAGCAGTCTTGCTCTACTTTTCAAAGATTTGCTAGTAGTTCTGTAGTGAGAGCTTATTACTGAACTCTTATTAAGGTAAGGATTCTTGAATTTTTTGTGGTGTGGACCCCATCTTTTATGTAGTCTTGTGGACCACCTGCCCTTTCTTCATTCATAGTTACATGATATCCCTGTGTTAACTATAGCAATTGCTAAAGTGGAAGAGTAATTTTAGGGCAGTATTTAATATCTTTTAGTTACCTATTAATGCAGTTAGCAACTGGAAACAAGGAGAGCCAGCATTGTATGACTAGACAACTCTCCACGGATCATAGTTTGGCTACATCTACACTTAATGCTGCAGCATGTTGGCTAATATAATATGAAGTGATAACATAATTAAAAATTAAAGTCTATCTGTCAGAATAAGAAAACATGCAATTTTGTGATGCAGTATACTTGAGTCTCACTGATCATTCTCTTACTAAAATCACAAACTTTTATCTACTATGGTTTTGCCTACACTAGCAATTTTTTCAGTTTCGCATTAGTGCAGCTCCTCAGTGCTAAATCATAGAATACCAGGTTGGAAGGGACCTCAGGAGGTCATCTAGTCCAACCCCCTGCTCAAAGCAGGAGCAATCCCCAATTTTTGCCCGAGATCCCAAATGGCCCCCTCAAGGATTGAACTCACAACCCTGGGTTTAGCAGGCCTTAGTGCTCATACCACTGAGCTATCCCTCCCCCCCCCCCAAATTCCCCCCAAATCATTGGGGAGAATCGTTGAATCATTGTACGCAGGACTTGTGAGTCTCCCAGCTAGTATGAATTAATGAGATTCAAGAACTGAATTATTCTAGAAGAGATTTAACTTTCAGGATTAATTTCAAATATTCAATTTTTAAGAGTTCTATGCTAAATTAGTAACGTACGTGGAGATGTAGAAATAACAAATGGCTAAAAACAAAACACTTTGAAAATCTCATCCCCTTCTTTTGTGCCTAACAGATCAATTAATTCCTGAGTTCTGAATTCCACTTTTCTTCTGCAACTGCAGCAGAAGTCATAAATTCCTCCAAAATACAGAAAACAAAAAAGAAATCTCAATGCAAAATTACTTTAAAACCAAATAAATTGAGCACCCCCCAAATGGATGATTTAAAGCACTTCCTCCATTGTAATGCAGTTAGCTAAGGGAAGGCAGATTGAATATTATTTTTGTTTTTTCCATCTGAGCTGCTATTTCAGAAGGTCTTGATGTCTTCCATCAATTGATTCTTGCCATGCAAAGCAGTTCTGACTAGAGAATGTTTCTCTTATTTTTAGCCTGTATGAACTTAGTTACTAGTCAGAAAACCTGCTGGTGCTATGTGTAGTAGATTTCTCAGCTTTCTTTTAGAGAACAGGGGAAGCAGTAGTCTAGTAGTTAAAACAAGGGATTTGATGTTGAGCGCTCAGTTCTGTTCCCAACTCTGGCACTGTTTCATTGTGTGACTTTGGGTAAGTCACATACTGTTTGTTTCCTAGTTTCCCCATCTGTAAAATTGGGATAATTTATCAACTTCTGTAAAACACTTTGGGATCCTCCGATAAAAAGTGGCGCATAAATACAAATTGTATTACTAAACGTCATCACTCGGACTCAACATTGTGTAACTAATCAAGATTTGGCCTGTTTGTAACAGACTGGCTTCTGAGCTTCTGCTTTTTTGGGGGGTGGTGGTGGTATTCATAATTAAGGGATATCTTACTCCTCATTTGTAATAAAAATAAGAAAAAATGTACTGTAAGTGTAAGTGACAGATTTGTTTCTTCTCTTTGAGTAGGAGATGCTGTTTGCTTTATTAAAGAACATTAATTGAAACACTGTGTTTGTTTGCCTTTCCTACAGGGAAAGAAATAAATACTTTTGAGCTATATTATTAAGCCTTTTTTAGAGAATAGAAGACTCCTTCTAGTACTTGTTGCTATTCATGGAGATTTATATAATTCTGTTGTCCTCCCTAATCCTTCTGCTTGGAATCTGAAATTATGTTTTGTTACATACAAGTATTTTGTATAAAATTGATTGGACATAAGATTTTATATGCTATCTCCAGGCAGTGAAACACTACTGGGCAAAAATTATTTTAGAAATGAATAAACGTGGTGCATTAAAAATTTCATTTTAAAGTATCAGATTAATACAGGTGTATTGACATACTATATACAATTTTTATACCATTGTACTGGCATTATGTAACTCTACCTCCTTGTATATGTGTGACCTGTGAAAGTGTGTTACGGGCGAAGAGACTGAAATGCAGTCTTAATTCTGAACTTATTCTGTGTGTGTATATGTACTTCTTAAATACAAAATCTACCACTAATGTATCATTAAGCTTGAGAAAATGAGTACTCAGAAGTTAAGAAATTCAGTTTGAGTGGCTGTTCTGATTCTGCCATATGCATGAAATTGACTTCAATGCTTGTAACTTCAAAATTTCTGGATGGAGTTTCTAGCTTAAGCATATTTGAGTTATGCAAGAGTCGGTACTTCTGTTTGAAAACAAGGGGGAAAATATGTGAGGTAGCTTGTTCCTAAATGTTTTGATGATTGAAAAAGGGCTGAATGGTTTGCTTAGACTTTACAGAATATTTCACCATTATGCTATAAACAAGCATTGAAAATTTTAGTTCCAAATTAACTTGAGAAAATTATGGGCACTTAAAGGGTAATAGTGGTGAAAATGGATATTAGAACTTCACCTTACCTATTGTGGGTGCTACCCATGATATAATAAGGTAAAGAGATGGAGGAAGTAAATATTTTCTGATGTAAACTATCCAAGACTTTCCCAAAATAAAATTTGTCAAAGGTTTCTGATGCTATAAACTATAGGAATTGTGTACTTGTGGTATCTGTGTTTTCTCTGTACTCGTAACCTAGGCTAGTACTTGGGAGATCCAGGATCAATTCCTTTCTTCTGTGCAAACTTCCTATGTGACAATGGACAAGTCACTTAACCTTCTTTGGATGGTTCCAATTGTATTCTACTGAGGGTTATGCACATGTGCCATGCGTCCGAAGCTGGAGCTTTTGAAAGTAATACTATTCAGCGGTCCGCGCATGCATTCTTGCATTGCCTCATGGTTTCCCCAGAGGCGATAAATGGTGGGGCAGGCCACCAATGTCTACAGTTCCTTCTCACCACTGCATGGTCTGAGTCGTACTTCTGCTATACTCTCTTGTCCTTGGTGATGCATTTTCCAAAATGTGTAGAAAAACTTTTTTATTCTTGTTCATAGTTAAGATTTTATTGTTTTTATTCTAAATTTTATAGTTTCAAGTTGTTTTATAGGATTAGATTGTGAAGTGCTTTGAGATCTGCAGTGAGTGCTGTATAGGAAATTCTTCTTCTTCTTCTTCTTATTGATTATATTTCCATAAAACAAACTACTTGGGTTTGGTTTCTGGTTTAAAATCTCCTTTAAAGTCTGCATATAATTGTTAAATTACTTATATATAATTCTTACTTACAAATCTGCTTCAAAGGTTTTTGCTGTAAATTTAGTATTAAATTTTTTTAGGGCGAATGCTGTCTTGCATAACTGGATCAGTTTTGCTGCATTCAAACAAAGTACCTGATTTTTTGAACAAGATTTGTAGCCTGCATATTTGATAGCATGATTAAGTCCCTTACTCTTACCAGTTTCAAAGTGGTACTTAGCTACCTCTTGGCAAGATGTTCAAGTTGGACAACACTGAATCTAAATAATATCCTGATCCATTGAGTACCCTTTAGTGTGGTGTGTATTAACTGAGGGAACATTTTGTACGGGCCACATTAAAAAGAACAACAAAATGAGGTCTTAAAAAGTATATACACCTTAGGCATGAAAGAGTTTAAATGATCACTGTTTTTAACTCAGAAGTCTGCCATATTTTAGCTGCAAATGCTTTGGCAACCAAGTACAAAGACTAGTATGCTTTCTGATTTATTTTTCAATTGAAATAATATTGGATTTCAAATATCTCATTTTCTGGGGGCTTGTCTAAAAGGAGAAATTTACTGGCATAATTATACTGGTATAATTACGCTGCTAAATTTCTCAGTGCAGGCAAGTTCTGGGGATTGAAGACAAAAGACTTTGCTGTGTGAGGTAAGCATAGGGCAAGAGGATGCTTTTGAATCTCAATCGGTGTGTTGAGGTTTTTTTTTGGTTGTTAAGGCTAATTCAAAGGAAGGAAAACAATGTTTTGTTTTTTTTTGTAACCTGAATTGTTAAAGTATAATTTTAAAAGATCAGAGATGAACAATTCAGAATCTCTCTTTAGCTTATCTCCACAGCCGAATTTGTACTGCATTGTTTTATTATTGTACTGTTTGATGACAGATAGCAGTCTCAATCAGAAAATGCCATTGGTGTTCACCATTTAGGTCACCATTTGGTCCTTCTTCACTGCTTCTACTTACACTAAGACTATTGCATGTGGTTTTAGAAGTGTAACCAACAAAGTAAGATACTGTACTTTGGTAAGTCTTTCAGTATATCCAAATATAATTGAGTACATCAGCTCTGTGGTTAAGAGAGCATTAGTATTCTGCTATTCTTGTTTCCTTGAAATGAATGCAAACCCCTCCCCCCCCCAAAAAAACAAAAACAAAACAAAACACCTTATTCAGCCTTAATTTTCAGGAGATCAGTTATTGATACAAGATATCTATCTGTGTACATAGACAAAATTAATTTGTGAGGTCTCTGGAGTATTCTAACAACTTGGGTTGAAGTCAATCTTAGTGGAAGAGTTTATTGATTCTCTTCACAAGAAGTAAATACTGAAAGTGGGAGGATTGTTTAACTTAAAAAAAAATGTAGACTGTCAAATCATTAATGATTCCTTGCTCCCCATCCTTCAACGGGAAGACTATGCTGTTCGAATTTGCTAGACTTTGGAGTAGCTCTAAATCAATTTGCTAATAGCATATTTCTGTTTCTGCCTTTTTTTTTTTTTTTAGGTTAATCTTAAGAGACCATGTCCATTCTGGGCTGATGATGGCCATTGTTCTATCAGAGATTGTCACGTAGAGCCTTGTCCTGAGGTATGGATCAAAGTAAAACAAGAAATCATTATTCTCTCACATAGCCAGACCAGTTTCTTCTATGGTTATCTCCTGGTTTAAACGATCTCTGCATCTCCCATGCAGATCCTCTTTATTTTTATTTTTCATTTTATTTTTTTAAATTTATACCTGTGCTGTAGCAGATTTAGGAACTACTGCTAACACCAGACTTCTCAGTTTGAATAGCTTGAACACAAATAGTTCAGTTAATTCCTCTCCTTTTAAGTCATTATTCCCCTCCATGATAGTCTTATTTCATGACCAACCTCATTAGTGAAAAGTGAAATTGACTATATGTAAAGCACTGTCAGATGTGCAAATTCAACAGTTTTTTAATTATAGTAATCTTGTGGTTTTACTTTTAACAGTAGTTGATTAAAAATGTTCATAGAGAAGTGTGATCAAGTTGATGTAACTGTTAAAATGTTTCAGTTTTTGTTTTAAACTTCTGATAGTGTGCATTTTCCCTTTTCCAACAGATGACAGTTAAAAACACTGTGGGTTGTTCTAAAATAGTTAAGCTGGAGTGGAATTCATAATTCTTTTAAGTTATTGGTGCACTACCTTATAATGTCTCTACTTGTACAAAAATGGCTCAGTCTCTACTGTATGTAGATACATAACAGTTTCATACTTCATATTTTATTACAATTTTTATTATGCTCCTATTCCGGAAATCACAAGGATTTCATAAGGGTGGGTAAACATCCCCATTTTATAGACAGGGAAACTGAGGTAGAGATCATTCAAGTGGCTTGACTTAAGTCACAGTGAGTTGTTTGCACAATCAGGAAAATAATCCAGGTCTCCTGGCTCCCATTTCTTTGTTCTCTCCAGTGGACTATACTGTCCACTGTGAACTATATTCTGTATTTAGCAGAAGGTGATGTGAAGTAAATAGATCTGTGTAACTTCTGTGACTTTTAACTAGGCTTCATTGCTCATCTTATGGTACAGATTTTACATGATAAGCAGTTATATATAAAACTATTGGTTTAACCAGGAAAAAGGGAATAGACAATTCAACATATGTGCAACATCGCCAAGTTAATGTTGTTTTTTGAAACATTTTAACTCTTGCATTTTCTGAATCAACTGAGCACACTTAACAATTCTTGTTGGGGTTTTATGCTATACTTTATTTTAACACTTAATTTATCTCCCACTTAAGCTCTTAAATGCGCACCTCACTGATGGCAGGATAAGTTCTCATCTCTGTCTGTATCGGTCTGTTACATCTACAGAACCATGCACACAGCTTCCACTGAATAATCAGAGCTGAATGCATATAAACTTGGTCCATTGTTTGACTGGCCACCTTCTGGTAATGCCACTTTAATAGGTGCAGCGGCACATCTGTTTACACTGACAACATAGCTTTACAACTGTAAAAGATAAAGGAGTATTTTTTAAATTAAAGCTTAGAATTTTGGAGAACATTCTAGAATGTAGCAAAAATTGTAGAGTAAACCTGAACATGCAATTTTTTTTTAATTATGCCTTTTTCTCGTGTTTCTAATCTTCTAATTCTATCCTTCCCACCCCAAAGCAAATGTCATGAACAGCCTCAGTACTCTCTGAAGGAGCTTCTGGGTTCTAAGCGCTTTTGAAAATTTGGCCACTTTGTTTAGGTGTGTAACTAGGAGCCCAACTCGATTTGAAAATGTGGGTCAATTATTCCTCAATTTGGATGGTCAGAATAGTTTGCATTTATGTAGCTCCCTTCATCCAGATACCAAAGCATTCTATAAACATTGATTAATGAAGTTTCATGACACGTGTGGGAGTAAAATCTATAGTAATTGACATTTTCAGGGGTTCTTAGGACAGGCATACAGTGTGTATATGTAACTTATGCTTTTGGAATATACACACGATAAACTTCAGTTCCTCCTAGACTGTTGAGTTGAAGGTCTTACTTTGTCAGTTGAAAGCTAATCTTCCCCAGACTTGCCATAAAAAATCAGTTTTGGCAGATGAAATTGAGGTATTGTGTTCATATTGGTTAGAGAGCAAATATTTCTTGCAGATTTTTGTAGACTTTGCAGAACTACTTTAAATAGTAGGGATGAGCTTTATTAGACAAATGTGTGTATTTACACACCATTCTAGTCTCTAATGTTTAATATCTGCTAGTGAAATCTTAAATTGGTTAAAAAAAATTGGCCATAATAAACTTTAGTTATTGCTACTTTTGTTCAGGGTAATAAAACTGAAATACTTTTTAATAATAGTATCCATTAGTGATAAAATTGAATGATGGGTATCCAAAGTATTAGCTATTGCTTTTATCAGGCAAAAATAAGTTTCAAATAATTAAAAGAAATTGAAATAAGTTTTCAACCTAGAAGGAGCCAACTGTTCTTATCTTGGGTTGGAGTAGCGTAAGTTGAGAGAACTAGGAATCACCTCAGCAAGGAATTAAAAGGTGTCAACTTGCAGAAAACAGTTAACAGCTTTATTAGCTAACAATCTTACAAGCATTGTGGCATAATCATTTTTGTGAACAGTGCATAAAGATAGTAATTTGTCTTTTTATTTTAGAGTAAAGTACCAATTGGAATTAAAGCTGGGAGTTCTAATAAAGTAAGTAATGTCTTTTTGTTTTCCAAGCTATTTTTCTGATTAAAAAAAATTAACCCCAAAATTAGAAATACTATGTATAGTCTTTATTGTCCTTTTTCAGCCTTGGATCCGTGGTAAACTTTATTTTTTATATGTCTTCTTGTGTGTGTAGTTTTTGCTTATAACAAAAAACAACAACCCCCGTATGCCTTTTATGTATTCGTTGTGAAGGAATTGTGGGTAAATTACAAATATTGTATGTGTGTATTTCTTTGGTGTTATTTGGTGGGTATAATTGCCACATACGGTTCAGTCCAACACTGTGTACTGGCAGCCTTGAGTCTCAGCAGACTAATCAAGTCTGAAGAAAAGTGGCTTGGTGCATTACATCAATAAAAGGTAAAGTGGAAGGGTGGTTTCTGTGGGGAACAGAGTTCTCGTAAATGAACTCCTCTTCCTTTCTCTCTCTGCAGCTCCCTGTTTTGAGCCTATTCGTTAGTCCCCAGATATGCAGCATGGTAGGGGTTCTATTACCTTATGGGTACACATAGCCCACAATGATGAACATGATGGAAGAATCTAATAACAGAATTTCAGGTGAAGAAGCCAGAATGACTAGAGAGCCAGTAATGTATTTTTTTTTAATTAAAGAATATCGGACACCTATCCTGCCTGTATAAATATTGAGAGGTCTCCCTTCTCTCAACATTGTTTTATTTTAAAGTAACGTTTAAACCTTCTGACTCCAACTCTGCTTGAGCTAAGTACATTAGTTTCAGATTTTCCCAGTGGAAGGATTTTTACATTTTCATCTGGGAGCATGTCAGCTTCTATAACACTCTTTTCTGACCAGAGACACCTGGGTACCAGTGTCCCTCCAGCTTAGGCATACCTTGCCATTCACTTTCTATCTCAGCCACCAATGTGTCAGACCTTGCAAAATTCATTAGGGTCCCCTCAGACACCTCTGTGGGTCCTAAGTCTAAGGTAGCTGCATTAACCTGGGCTGATTGGGGTTTGTATTTTCATGTGCTCAGTGGAGCCATATCAGTAGCACTTTCTTGGGCTGTGCTGAGGTGTAGATACGTCTTACCTGTTATTCTTTATGGAAAAATATCCTGTAAGGTATATGGTGTAGTGAGTTTGTCAGGTCTAAGGTGAAATGTTTGCAAAGAACAAAGAAATGTTTGCCAAGGGGTCTCTGTGACGCAGTATGTTGATGCATTTAATCCTTTGAGATGAAAACTCAGCCCAACAATGAGATTTGTAAGCTTAAACTAGCAGCTAATTATTTGTTAGGTCATGAGCACACTGTCTGCTCCTGCTCGCCTCTCCTCAATTCATCCTTTCCACTTCTCCAAAATCTACCTCTTAAGAAAGCTGTGTATTTTCTAATCTCAGCTCCTCTGCAAAGTCTTGCAGTTCCAGTAACCTACTGGATGGTCCCATCACCATCTCACTCATTCTGTCCAAAATTAAACTGCTCATTTCTCCTCTTCACTGGTTTGTCCTTTTTCGGTATCACATTCAAGATCCTTCTCCCCTCCCCTTTTAAGGCCCTCTATAATCTCATCACTGTCTGTCTTTGCTCTGATCCCTCCTATGCTTATATGGATCCTTTGTTGTCCTTGCTGCTATATCCTTCTTTTCTCAGACTCTTAGCTTAGTACATTTTTCATGCTGCCCCTTTGCTTGGGACAGTCTTCCCCTTCATGTTAGTCAAGTGCTCTTTCTCCTTTTCCCCAATTCATTCAAATCTCTTCATTCAGACACTCTTCTCTGAGTCCTGTGGTGATCTCTCCACCTCTGAATTGTTGTCCTGGGATTTTTCTTGTCAGTGTTCCATTGCAACATCTTCAAGAGAAGGAACACTAATTACTTTTTATTACTGTATCGCAGTGGTTCCCAAACTGTTTGATTGCAACCCCAAAAGTGCGGAGGGCACCATTTTGCTTTGAACAGCTTGACCCCCACATATGGTGTATACAAGCACTTGATGTTCAGAAGGCGCCATTTTACTCTGCACAATGGCATGCATAAGTGGTCACGCTGCGTGAAGGGTACAGTTTTGCTCTGCAAAATGGCATCTTCCATGCTGTCTGGGGTCTCAGCAGGAAATACTTCATCAAAAAAAGTTTGGGAACCTCTGCCATAATGTCTCAGAGCCCTAGTTATCGACCGGGTGCCCTGTGTTAGGTGCTGTACAAACACAGAACAAAAAGACTTTTTCTGCCCCAGAGAACTTAAAGTTGAAATATCAGATGGGACAACAGATGCGGGAGTACAAGGAAACAATGAGACAATATTGGTCAGCATGATAGGCAGTGTTCTCAAAGCACCACCAGTCTAACCAAGTCAATTTGTATGAATAGCCTTACTCATTAATGTTGCTTTGAAGTAAGGGTCCATCATTTTCTGTTATTTCTGTATTTTAAATGTTCTATAATTTATGCTGTAAAAACTTTCTGCTTGCTAAAACTTTACAGAACACAATGTTTATAAAATGATTTTAAATTACAGAAATACAAAATAAATGTTTGATGCTCTATTACTCTTGTAACATTGATTTGATGCTTATGAAAAGAAATAACAATTTACATACATTTTATAAAAAAATATATAAGCGCTAAAACTATTGATATCTTGCTGTGAGTATGCAAATTTGTCTGCCTTCTGTTGTCTGAGTGCACTTACAAACTATTCGGCAGCATTATTTTCTGTATATGAGGAGGGATTCTATGTTGTGTGGGCTGCAGATGGAACAGAAAGAGTTTTATAAATACACAGAAGATAGGAAAATGAAGTTTAGGAGAAGTTTTGATCACAAAGCTAGCCTCAGAAATTAACTAACTGTAACATTTCCATTACAGCTAATAATTTCTTCCTTTTGCTGATTTCTCCTGAAGACCTGATTAAAATCTCTTTAACTTCACTTTTTATTTTTAGTATATATTTCTGAACACTGACTTCTCACATTACTGCATAAAGATACAGTATTCTGACACCTCTTCCCCTCCGTAGCCTTTGATGTGCCCAAATACAGTCGTTTCCTCAATCAACAAATCAACAAAATTTAATATGGTCTGAAAAGATGTATTTGCATGATGACTTTGGGTATGTCTACACTGCAATGAAAAACCTGTGGCTGGCCCATGCCAGCTGGCTCAGGCTGCAGGGCTCTTTCATTGCAGTGTAAACTTCTGGGCTCAGGCTGGAGCCTGAGCTGTGGGACCCTGTGAGGTGGGAGGTGCCTAGTTACAGTGTAGACATACCCTAAGACACTACCTGAATAATGAAAAGGAGTACTTGTGGCACCTTAGAGACTAACCAATTTATTTGAGCATGAGCTTTCGTGATGAAGTGAGCTGTAGCTCACGAAAGCTCATGCTCAAATAAATTGGTTAGTCTCTAAGGTGCCACAAGTACTCCTTTTCTTTTTGCGAATACAGACTAACACGGCTGTTCCTCTGATACCTGAATAATGGTTCATAACATCAGTTTATGGATTTGTCATGGGGTGGGAAGGAAGGCAAAACACATGGTAAAACTTTGTTTATCTTTTTTTAATAGCAAAAAGTGGAATATAACAATTCCTATGCTGAGTTTAAAACGAGCTCAAAGTGCTGCTAACCAAGCTCCATTCCTAGCTGCTGAACCAGCTTCCATTGTTCCAGTGGGAAGAAAGACAAGATGCAGGGGCTGTGGCTTAGTTAGGCACTTAGACTTAATTCACTTAAAATATCAGTGAACGTTTGTCAGTAAAACATACAGAGCTGGGCATCTTTCTTTCCTTAAGTATTTCTACTTATTTGGGAGGGCTGCCATCAGCCCTTCCCAACTATGATGCTGGGCTCCTACCACCACTGCATTACCCTCTTATGAAGGTTAAAGGGAACTGGGGAAAAGTGTGGGGTGGTCTTCTTGCACAGTAGGAGCCACAGCCCCTCTTTTTGCAGGTTTCTTAGGGGATGTCTTCCCTTAAATTCACCTCCAACTCCTGTTTATCAGGGAACAGTATTCCTTTTGTGATATTTGCACGGGACACATGCCACATCTGCTACCCACTGAGTTGCAACATTTTGACCTTATCTATCTCACTAGATCCCTAGTCTGCTGTGGGGAAGGCAAAAAAGCCACCCTGCGCCAGCTAATCTGGCAGTGAGGGGGAAAATTACTTCCCAGCCCCAAAAGAAAAAAGGCAACTAGCACGAGAATAGCTTCCACAGATCACTGACTGTTTAAAAAAAAACAAAAAACCAACAAACCTAGTGCTTGTGAAGATGCCATACTGATTGGTATTCCTCAACTGCTGATGTCTATTAGTGCAACAGATACAGCACAGGGAACAAGAGTGCAAGCTTCTATGGCTGTAAAAATTTCCTGCTATGTTGGGATCATAGTGGAAGCCCCATAGACAACTCTCCAGCAGCTTCCAACATATTACTATTTTGCACTTTAACTAATGTGGTAGTAAAAATGCTAGATGCCATCAGAGTCTTGTCTATGATAGAGCTAACATTAGTGCAGCTGAACTGGTGGTTACACTGGGGCGAATCTTTTGCTGAAAGTCCCTAGTGTAGACAAGGCCTGACACTGCCTTGCCAAGTTTTATTTTGGAGATCTTTTCTCTAAAGAAAAGAAGGTAATTCAGTTTTCGTTCCTATGGCAGTCACCCCCTAAATATGCTATCATATTCTGGTGTGCAGTACAGACCAATGATTGGTGGTCATCACTTGCCCTGCAACCTTTGGTGCGGGTGCCTCATAATGAATTATTGCAGTAGCTCACAATCTGGGCCCCTCACAGACAGACGGGCAGCATCCAGGTCACACTCAGAGTGTCTGTTTATAGCTGCAGCCTGCCAGTAACACTCCAGTCAGCAGCTTCTGCTAGCCTTAGTTACCACTTCCAGGGTGGCCCCCAACATTCCCAGGCCCAGGTATTCCCAGAAATGGCATGTTCTGCACTCTCCAGCCTTCTTGTGGACAGTTCAGATATTAGAGGTCCATTGCCCTGTAAAG